CCTCATTTGTAAGTCGCTTTGGATAAAAGCGTCTGCTAAATGACTAAATAAATAAAATAAATAAATAAATAATAAGCATATTTCCAGTACGCGCCTCAGGCAAGCGGGCTGTGCGACCTGCGTCATCAACCCGGAACTAAAGTTAGATTCAGTTCGATTTGTGAACCGGCTCAACCGGTTACTTTCTGAGATTCGTTCAAGAACCTAACATCACTACTGACTGGTTGCTGTAACATTTATTTCTGTTGTGTGATAGGATGTTAGATTAATCCCTATTGACTAAAAATTTCCAGAGCTTATCATCATTATTTAAATGTATCATAATCTAGATATGATATAATTTATCGCCCGACGCTAATTTAGGCTATTTATAGAATGTGCTTGGCGGGCGACTCAGAGACTCCATGCGGGCTACCAGTTGGTGACCACTGCTATATTATCACCAAATATTGGATTCAGTGTTTTTAGGGGCCAATCACCAAAGCACCTATTGTATCCGTTAGTCTTCTTTTTCTGCTCTAGAGTCTATGACTTCCCATAGAACTGTATGGTAAAAAGTTATGAAATTTGGTACGCAGATAGAGGACAGTCTGAATATTAACCACACCAAATTTGGAGTCTCTACCTCAATCTCTCTAGCGCCACCAACTGTCCAAAGTTGCACTCACGTTTATGCTAATAACTTTTGAACCCTATAGGGCTAGAAACGAAATAATTTTTCTGCTTTGAAACGATGCATATTGTGCTATAAAAATAAATTTGACTTGACTTTTTCAGTTGAGAAGTCTTAGGGAATTGTGTTGGTAGCGTGCAGAGCTTTACCACTCTATAGGGTTTAATTTCCGTTTCGTCTTGTTTTGGGGATTTTCTCACAGGAATTCGAGCGATGCATCAGACTCGATCTGTTTCTTCTTTACCTCCTTGTTTGTTTCCCGTACCCCTGCCGTCCGGGTCGAGGTTGTGTCTCTCCTCCAGGTGGCTTTGATTTCTCCTGGCCTCCCCTGAGGAGATGCATGTGGAGGAGCAGCTTGAAGGGCTGGATTAGTGGGTCAGCGCTCGGATCTACGGCGTGACTCTGATTCTGTGCTCAATCTTCCATAAAGCCAAGCGTTATCATTGTTAATTTCTGTATGTGAGACAAGCTGAAGTTTAGAAGTGGATCTCAACCTTTATGACTCTAAAACCCTCCATTATTCACATCAATATTGAAAAGCCAACACTTCTAGTTTCTTTTAATTCATTAAATTTCTCGATTCCAGAAATTTTAAGAGCTGAATGTTCTTCAAGCATCCTGGTCTTTTTAATTTGCAATGTTTTTGTCCTGCAACAAGCAAGAATATCCAAAGTTTTTTATTGCAATATGCAAGAAGATGCAGAGTTTTTTTTTTATTGCAGTATGCAAGAATATGTAGTTTATTATTGCAGTATGGAAGAATATGCAAAGTTTTTGGAATGAATGTTTTTCAAGGATCCCGGCCTTTTCCATCTGCATTACTTCAAGTCCTTTGTGATTTACTGGATAAGGATAAAGGATAAGGATCTTTTATGCATGACTTTTCCAGTCATTTGTGATTTACTGGATAAGGATAAAGGATAATGGTCTTTAAAAATATTTTTGCTCTCAGTTTCTACACTGAATAACATTTGGTGTAGAAACCATTTTTTGCTAGTACATTCAACAAATAATTGCAAAGAAACTGCATATGACACATTGAATTAAACTTATTTAATTTTGAAGTAGAAACACTGAAATTGTGTTTTCATGTAAAATGTACTTCAGTCATTTTTGTTTTATTTACAACTTAAAAAAATACATTTTTACAGTGCACAAGATGACGAGTTAAATGTATATTCATTATAAAAATGGATGCTGTTTTAAGATTTTATTAATTTCAATGACTTTTTCAGGTCTAGAAATCACGTTTTAAAAATGACTTTTCATCATATATCCAGATTTTCTATGATGGTTCTTCAAAGAGAAAAACAGTTGTTGAGGGGGTGTTTAAAAAACAGAAATATCTTGATTTTTAGCTTATTTTAATGCTTGTTTTGTCTTATTTCAAATCATAGGGAAGTTTGGCCGCCTGGATGAGAACCACTGGCTTAGAAGTTTTTTCAAACTATGAACTTTAGTAATAGTGATGCTTGACTTGTGCAAATGCCACTAAATAATAGCAGAAGTTTGAGGAGAATCTGTTGTGTAATTTGAGACTTATTTTGAGATTATTTTGACCCCTAAACAGAGACTTCTTCCATCAGATCACTTGCCGAAACTGCAAATGACCCAAGAAAAGTGTGTTAATCCTTTAAACGTTTGTTTCAGGTGTCAGAGATTCTACGCGTCTCCATCAAGCTTGAGTCAATACCTGCTGTTTGCTGCTCTTACAGATCCATCCAACTGCTTCTATCACTCATGCATGCATCTCTTTAGGACAAAAGCACAGTTATCGGGGTTTCAGGGTTTTTCTTTGAACTTTTGGCACTTGAATGGTTTTGAAGAACATTACTTAGAACATTAAAGCCTGTTGTTGCTACAGGAAATGCATTGGATTGAAATGGTTCCAAAAGACTAATCTTGTGTTTTAATTGCTGTATTTCCAGACTCATGCATGTCAGGTTAGGGGTTCAACAACCAGCAGACGTCAAACACAGATTGTGGGGGTTTGATTTTGTCACTTTGGTGTGAAGAACGTCCTCCGTTATTTGAGGTTCAAGATCCTGAGAAGCCAGTCTGGATTTTCTAACAGAACTAATGTTTAGATTTTAACCCAAGCAGTAAGGAATTGGAGGAGACCTTCTTCTCACATGCTTTGCGGCTCCCCTGCGGTTTTACTTTAAAGTTGCCAGAAACTCGTTAAAGAAAAGCTTTACACACACAAACACACTGAGTTTAAATGTCACAACACCTTTTGAAGTGTGAAGGCATTCGACTGTAACAAGCACCATCACCTTTAGGAAAGAAAGATCACAGAAAATCATCGCTGTTTGTTTTAGGCGTCAGGTCTGATGATGTTGTGTCTGTTCCTGCAGAAAAACATCTAATAATGTGCAGTTTTTCAGAACAGACAGTGATTTTTACTTGGATTTCATGCAATTTAAGATTTAATGAGTGATTCTCGCTCGAATTAATTATTACTAAACAAAGCAAAATTTATGCTTGCTATTAAAAACATTTTTAAGAAGAACACATCAGTTTTTACAGTGGTTTAAAAGCAGGGCTGTTTTTATGCTTTATTGATCCCTTCATTGATTTCTGCTGGAAACTGCTTTTGTGCAGTTTTATTGCAATATGCAAGAATATGCTAATTTTTTAATTGCAATATGCAAGAATATGCAACATTTTTTTATTGCAATATGCAAGAATATGCAACTTTTTATTGCGATATGCAGGAATATGCCACGTCTTTATTGCAATATGAAAGAATATGCAACTTTTTTATTGCAATATGCAAGAATATGCATTTTTTTTGCATATTATTATTTTTTTATTGTAATATGCAAAAGAATATGCAACATTTTTATTGCAATATGCAAGAATATGCAACATTTTTATTGCAATATGTAAGAATATGCAACTTTTTTATTGCAATATGCAAGAATATGCAGTGTTTTTGTCTTGCAATATGCAAGAATATGCACAAGAATATACAACTTTTTATTGCGATATGCAGGAATATGCCACGTCTTTATTGCAATATGAAAGAATATGCAACTTTTTTATTGCAATATGCAAGAATATGCATTTTTTATTGCAATATGCAAAAGAATATGCAACTTTTATATTGCAATATGCAAGAATATGCAGTGTTTTTGTCTTGCAATATGCAAGAATATGCACAAAAATATGCAACTTTTTATTGCGATATGCAGGAATATGCCACGTCTTTATTGCAATATGAAAGAATATGCAACTTTTTTATTGCAATATGCAAGAATATGCATTTTGTTGCATATTATTTTTTTTTTTTATTGCAATATGCAAAAGAATATGCAACATTTTTATTGGAATATGCAAGAATATGCAACATTTTTATTGCAATATGTAAGAATATGCAACTTTTTTATTGCAATATGCAAGAATATGCAGTGTTTTTGTCTTGTAATATGCAAGAATATGCACAAGAATATGCAACATTTTTATTGCAATATGCAAGAATAGGCAACTTTGTAATTTGCAGTATGCAAAAATTAGCAAAAAATGTTTATTGCAAAATGCAAGAATATGCAATGTTTTTTTCTTGCATTATGCAAGAATATGTAACGTTTTTTTATTGCAATATTCAAAAATATATTACATTTTTGTGCAATACACAAGAAAAGAAGTTCTCTAGAAGCTCTCTACATATGCATGTCTGTAGAATTTTTCACCTTTTCTACCGCTCCTCAACAAGCCACATGATATGAATTGTTATTCCTTCAAGTTATGCACATAAGTGTAATACATTAGCACTCAGTGTTTCTCTCCTAGCCACTGTCATAAGAAGCACAACACGGATCCATACTGGTTTAGGTCTGTACTTATTTGTGTTTCATGTGACACCCTCTGCAGGTCAACACCAATGGCTTCATCTCGCTGACTAACCCGACCGATGAGTCTGAGTACCTGGGGAAGATGCCGGCCAGTTTTGGTATGATTGCAGCCTTCCTGGGAGATCTGGACACCACCGATGGGGCCGGTTATGTCTATTTCCGCCAGGATAAAAGCCCTGATGTGCTCCAGAGAGCCGCAGAGCACATCGGCCAAGCGTTTCCTTCTGACGACGAGATCGAACCCACTCGCGCCATCATCGTCACCTGGGAGAATGTGGCGCCTCAAGGTGAACGAGGAACAGGAGGTGAATATGCGGTACGTCCCTCAACTCTGAATGTTATTAATGTTATTAAGTTATTAAGCCGGCACAAAAGTGTCTACAAGTCAAGTCACCTTTATTTAAGTTTTTATTGCAGTCTGCAAGAATATGCAGAGCTATTGTTTTGCAATATGCAAGAATATACAAAGTATGCTGGTTTTTATTGCAATATGCATGAATATGCAAAGTTATTGTCTTGAGATATGCAAATATGTTGGTTTTTATTGCAAAATGCATGAATAGGCAAAGTTTTCTGCAATATGCAAGAATATGCTATTTTTATTGCAGTTTACAAGAAAATGTAAAGTCATTGTCTTGCAAAATGCAATAATATGCAATTATTGTCTTGAAATATGCAATAATATGCAGTTATTGTCTTGAAATATGCAAGAATATGCAGTTTTTGTATTGCAATATGCATGAATATGCAGAGTTATTGTCTTGAAACATGCAAGGATATTCAAGGATATGCAAAGTTTTTTTTGTTCCTGCAGTATGGAAGAATATGCAGAGTTATTGTTTTGCAGTATGCAAGAATATACAAAGTTATTGTTTTGCAATAAACAAGAATATACAAATTATGCAGGTTTTTATTGCAAAATGCATGAATATGCAAACTTATTGTCTTGAAATATGCAAGAGTAGGCAAGGTTTTCTGCAATATGCAAGAATATGCAGATTTTTATTGCAATATGCAAGAATTTGTAAAGTTATTGTCTTGTAATATGCAAATATATGCAAAGTTTTTTTTTCCTGCAGTATAGAAGAATATGCAAGTTTTTTTATTGCAGTATGCAAGAATATGCACAAAAAAAAATCTTGCAATATGCAAGAATATGCATTATTATAAGGCACATTTACTTCTATGGCACTTTATACAGTACAGATTGTTTCAAAGCAGCTTCACCGTGATAATCAGGAACATAGTTTTAATGTTGCAAATTTCTTCAGCTATGCAGATTCAGTTCTAATCTGTAAAGCAGCACTAAAAAGACAATAGTGTCATTATCCAGCTCTTAAACATGACAGATAATTAACATTGCTTTTCCTTCCTGAAATGCAAGCTTGTTATAAATCTGTTGCAGAGAAATACTTTCCAGCTGGTTGTAGCAAACATGGAGTCTGCGTCTTACACCATCCTGCTGTATCCAGAGGAGAGCATGCAGTTCGGCTCCACTCTCATTGATGATGAAGATCAGCTGGTTGAGGTCGGCTTCAATGAAGGGAAGGTCCCGGGATGGTTCGGGTGGGCGACCACTCAGGGATCTTACTATCGCATCTCTGAAGACAGCGAGGAGTCAATAAGCGCTCTCGCACAGTAAGTGCCTACTTCTAAACGTAGTTATTGGTGCATTATTAATCTGGGCTCCCTCAATTTTCATGAGAGCCAGTTAATCATAAAAGCAGTGGTTTTGTTCGAAAAGTAAAATAAAATAAAAATATATATGTGACCCTGGAGCACAAAACCAGTCATAAGGGTCAATTTTTGGAAATTGAGATTTATGCATCATCTGAAATCAGCTGAATAAATAAGCTTTCCATTGATGTATGGTTTGTTAGGATAGCACAATATTTGGTCGAGATACAACTATTTGAAAATCTGGAATCTGAGGGTGCAAAAAAATCTAAATATTGAGAAAATCATCTTTAAAGTTGTTCAAATGAAGTTCTTAGCAATGCATATTACTAATCAAAAATTAAGTTTTGATATATTTACGGTAGGACATTTACAAAATATCTTCATGGAACATGA